TTGTTCGAATTTCAAATATTTGAACACCTAGTTCAATTAAGTAACGCAATTATTTTTCGTTGATTTATTGAAGTATTTAATTATTACGGCTACAGCACAAAAAATACTTTTTGGTATATAACTATGTATAGAAAATTAAAAACAAACTAATGGAAAATTTCTGCTTTCATGTCAAATTGAATTAAAAATCACAAAAAAGATAATTCTATCCACGTTTATTGTGAAAAGTTCAACAAAGTAAAATATGTTTTGTGTGAAGATAATAAAGTTATTTTGATGATTAATGAAAATGCAAATACCATAATTACAGAACTTCATTAGTTTAATTGCGAAATAACAAGTTCTATAAAACGGTTTAATTTTTATGTTAAAGAGTTGTGTTTTTGAAGTACTTATAAATAAACATTTTTTTTTTTTTATTTTAATAAACACATTAATATTATTAATATTAATAAAATTATTTCTTATTATTAATAAACATTCCTGATAAAATAAAATTTAAACAACTGAAGTATTCGCACTAAATATTTTCGCCAAAAGTAATAAAATATGTATTATTAATTTTAAAAAATGTGAATTTATCAATATATTTGTTCAAATCTTTCTCAAAATAATATTATTGCATACAATGGCAAAAGATATATTAGGCACACTAAAATTAGTTCATATTTTATGTTCAATCATCGGTTTCTACTATGTTAAAGATTTTAATGTATTAAATCAGTCTTGTGTGAGCATTCGAAGCGTACACATCGTGCGAAATAAATTTATATTTTTTGAAGTTTAGTGAAAGTAAACCTTGTACCTGTTGTGTTTTGATAGTGAGCTGATAACAAACAATGGAGTCGGCCCCGTACGGGCACGAGGGCGGACGGCCGCCTGATAAAGATATTACACAACATTCAGATTTAGGCGCAACCATTGCAGGTGCAATGCATGTGCTAAATGACCTTGAAGATTTTAACAATGAAAGTAGTATGGATTATAGCATAGATGATCAAGAAATCGATTTAAGTAGTTGTGAAAGTATTCACAATTTAGATAGTAAATCTAATAAAATCAAGATTGGAATTAATAAAACTAATCCCACAAAAGTTAATAAAAAAGAAACAATGCTAAGGAACTCTAATTATGTAAATAGTGATAAAGAAAATAAAATTAACAGAACAATGAAATTCATTAAAAAGGTGACTAGCGCAAAAAATAACAAAGTCAAAAGATTAGAAAGTGGAGTCAATTCAAAAGTTGAAGTTCAGAAAAGTAATGATACAATAAATAAAAATGTAAAGGCTATTCAACGCAGTAGTAATGATAAAGTAAGGGAAGAATCTGATAGTGTATCTAATGCGAATAATGAAGAAAATGTTAATCAGAATGAATCAAATTCTATTAACAATAACATGGTTAGTGAAGAAATGGTTGAGATGAATGAAGTAAAGTCTAGTAACTATGCTCGAAACAATAAAATACGATTTGAAGAATGCGATAAAGGACCATATCATATATATGTGGAATCAATAAATAAAAATATTGGGAGGTTACATCACATGGCAATTGGAAGGATGTTATATAAATCAGTTCCAAAATTGAAGACGGAATTATCAGAAATTGTACAAATTGGAAAAAACAAAATAAAATTAGTAATTAATAATCGAGAAACAGCCAATAGTTTACTGGAAGATGAATTTTTCAAGATGAATAATCTCAGGACCTACATTCCTAAATATCTAGTAGTAAGACAGGGGATAATATTTGACGTTGATATTAATTTATCGGAAGACGAAATAATGGAAGTTATAGAATCTGATTATCCAGTGGTGGAAGTAAAATGTTTAAAGTCAAAAAGAGGTAATAACATCAATTATAAATCGCAATGTGTGAAATTAACATTCAGGGGCTCCAAATTGCCGGAGAAAATTTCAATATATTCAGTCAAATGTAGGGTGAGTCCATACATTAAAAAAGTAGTGCAGTGTCATAATTGTTGGTTCTTTGGTCATATAAAAGAACAATGTAAAAGTAAAAAAAGATGTCCGAAATGTTCAGAACAACATGGAATAGAAGCCTGTACTGAAATTTTAAACTTAAAATGCTGTTTATGCTCCGGGGAACACGTTGCAAATAGTACTGAATGCCCTGAATTCAAAAGGCATAAAAGTATTTATGAATTGATGGGGACTCATAATATAGCTTTTCATGAAGCGAGGAATATTTTGCGAAATGACAAATATTCAAGAGTTGTTAAATTTAACCCTTATACCATAGATAAGGAAAAAGATTTTCCGATGATAAAAGAAAAAAAGAGGGATGAATACGGACTAGAAAAAAGTTACTGTGATAAAAATAAATATAACGAATTATCAAAATTAATAGAAGAAGATAAGGATACAGAAGAAGACATAGTATGGATTAGAAAACCAAAAAGGTCACATGTCAAAAATGTAACAAGGGTAGGAGGTCAAGGTACCTCTAAAGTATCTAAGTATAATAATTTAAATAAAGAGACGGATATTAAAAGGGTAAGTAATAGAGATATAATTAGTAGGAAAAGGCCGATTAAAACGTCGGAAGATGATACGGATCAAGAAGAAAATGAATCAAGAAAAGAAGAAAATGATCCACTCGAAATTCTTAAACAGTTAGTTACACAAATTAAAATAATAAATAGATCTGATGATTCTTCCATAAATAGATTACTGAGTATTGTGATAAGTAAATTGGAAAAGGATAAGAGAACTACAGGAAGTTTTATAAAATAATAGAAACAATATACACAATATAAATAAGCCAAAATGAATTTAAAAATACTACAATTAAACTGTAGATCATTGAAAGCAAATAAAGAAAGTATAGAACATTTCTTATACAATAATCAGATTTCGATAGCGGCCCTTTCCGAAACATGGTTCAGTCCTAATGCAGTATGCAAAATTAAGGGGTATAAGATTTTTCGGAAAGATAGAGAAGATGGATACGGCGGAGCAGCCATCATCGTCAAAAACAACATAGATTGTGATGAATATGAAACAATAAACAACAATAAGAATATACAAATATGTGCGGTAACAATTAAAACAAATATAACCTTTTGCTTAGTTTCCATTTATTGCTCAAATAGAGAAGAAATAGATTTTACTGATGTGAGGAAAACTATAGAAGGGATCCATTTTAAAACATTGATCGTTGGAGATTTCAACAGCCATCACTTTGCATGGGGAAGTATGGCGAACAACACATCAGGAATAAAATTACAAGAAATCATAGAAGATCATTCATTAATAATTCTCAACAACGGCAAACCCACAACAATCGAGACAAGAAACAGAAAAGCGACGAATATCGATTTATCTTTATGCTCCAGCAATTTCACAGATTATATCAGATGGGAAATACTTGAAGAATCTCTTGGATCTGACCACTTACCAATTATAATACATATTTACACAAATGCAATTTCAAACATCAAAATCTTCCCTACAAAAAAATGGAATACCAATCAGGCCAATTGGAAAGGATATGGCGAAGAAATTTCAAAAACTCTCCAAAACTCTAACATACCTAATACAGGAAAACAAAAATATGAATTTCTAATGAATTGTATAGATCATGCTGCAGAGAAAAACATAAAGAAATGCAAAGTGATAATTAGCTCAACCTTCAAACCAGCTGCATGGTGGGATCAAGAATGTGATGTTATGGTAAACGCAAGAAAAAACGCACTTAAACAAATGCGCAGAAAATATAATTATGATAATTTTATCCTATACCAAAAAATAAATGCACAAACCAAGAGATTTTTAAAGAACAAGAAAATACAAAAATGGGCGGAATACACAAGTTCAATTAACAAAAACACAAATCCGGCTACAATTTGGAAGAAAATCAAAATATTCAACAACAAAAACACAAATAGGAACATAAATCCAAATTTTATGGAAGAATGTGGACATCAAATATTACAAAATATAGCACCAGATTATGTCTGTAACAAACAAGATATTTTTAGTAAGAATAATAATGAAGAAACAGAATTGATGTCACCTTTCAAATATAATGAATTGAGAAGAGCTCTAAAAAACAGAAAGAACACGGCTCCAGGTAAGGATAACATTTCATATAATATGATCAATAATAGTCCAACTAATTTTAAAATGGAACTTCTAAATGTATTTAATAATATGATCACACACCACTGGATTCCTGAAAAATGGAAAGAAATAATTGTAGTACCAATAATTAAACCTAATAGAAACCCACAATCTATAGACTCTTATAGACCAATATCACTAATATCATGCGTAGCAAAGATTTTCGAACGAATGATAAAAGAAAGACTGGAATGGTACATTGAAAATAAGAACATACTCCATGATACCGTATTTGGTTTTAGAAGCGGAAGAGGAACAATAGATTTATTGAGTACCCTTACTACCGACATAAATATATCGAGGTCAAACAATGAATATATGTTGCTACTGTCAATAGATATTGACAAAGCCTATGAAAACGTAGACCATAATATTCTACAGAAAAAACTACGGAATATAAATATCCCAGAGAATATAATTAAAATAATATTGGAGTTGATATCACCAAGATATATTTATCTACGAACTAATGGAGATATGATCGGCCCTAGATCAGCATACAACGGGATCATACAAGGTTCCATTTTAAGCCCTACATTATTCAACATATATACTGCGGATTACCATAAGATACCTGATACAAGTGTTAAAAAATTACAATATGCCGACGACATTTGTTTATACATATCAAGACCGTCAATAGAATCATGTATAACGCAAATGAACTATGCTATTAAAGAAAACATAAAATGGTTATCAAGCAATAATTTAAATATATCACCAACCAAAAGCTCAGCAACGATTTTCACTAGACACAGACTCCCTCAGAACATAGGTCACATAAGGGTTGGAACTCAAGATGTTATAATAAAAGACAACGTGAAAATACTAGGCATAACCTTTGACGCCAAAATGACATTTAAAAAGCATATACAAGAATTATCAAGAAAATGCGAAACAGGCATCAATATACTTCGTAAAATAACAAATACTAAATGGGGAGCACACCCAGAGACATGTCTTTTACTGTACAGAAATTTGATTAGAACTCAAATAGATTACGGATGCTTTATATATGGTCAAACGTCAAAAAGTGAACAAAATAAACTTGATAAAATTCAATATTCCGCAATAAGAACATGCATAGGGGCATTTAGATCAACACCGACAAATGCGTTATTAACAGAAGCAGGAGAACCTCCTCTGAGCATAAGAAGAGAAATTCTAGCAAACAGATTCTTGATGAAAAAACTTAATGGATCATGTAAATTATTACCCAAACAGTTAGAAAATCTAGCAAGATTACATTACTCCACACGCTACTGGACAAACAAACCAGCTCCATCACTAATAAATAGTTTTTATACAATTAAACCTCACGAAGAGAACATCATAATCAATGATAAAACTCCATATTACATCTACCCACCGCTAAACGATTACATTAAACCATACATCGATATAGATGAGAGCACAAATATAGCAAACACGGACATATATATACGTGATTTAGAACGTCATATCAACTCAAATTGGCCGGATTATTTGCAAATCTATACTGATGGCTCTAAAACATTAGAGGGAACCGGATGTGCCATACATATCCCAAGAATCCATTACAGTAACAAAGTAAGACTTCCAAACTATACATCCATATTTTCGGCGGAACTTATAGCGATATACACTGCCGTAAAATATGTGAATGACAATAATATTAACAAATCTTTGATACTAAGTGACAGCAAATCAAGTCTAACAGCCATAAAACACGCCAATAAACATTCAAACATAATAATATATAAAATTATAGAAATCATAAAGAAAATCAATACTGATGATAAATCCATGATTCTTCTTTGGATAAAGGGTCATTCTAATATAAAAGGCAATGAGATGGCAGACAGTCTAGCCAAAGAAGCATGCACGAGCGGCGATCAATTTGCGAAAACTCCTGCGCTAGATTTAAAACATTTAATAAAACAACAAGGTTTGGAACTATGGCAGAAGTCTCACTCAGAAACAACAAAGTCAAAAGGATCCACATACGCACTAACGAGAGAGATTGTATCACCAAACACATGGTTTAAAAATATAGAAGAAAGTCGAAATTTTATTACAGTAATCTGCAGATTGAGACTCGGACACTCCTACTGCAAATCGCATCTGAAGAGAATTGGCATCATACAGGATCCAAAGTGTGACTGTGGAAGCCTAGAAACACTCGACCATTTATTTTGGGAATGCAGGCATTATCAGCAGGAAAGATCGAAATTAGTTAGGAATTTGCAAAACGTGAGGATTGTTTTTCCCATCAATATACAGATGCTTATTTCAAGTAATGACATAAGGATTTATAAATATTTATATAATTTTATAAGTAAATGCAAAATTAATTTATAGCATAATCATTATTGTATAACTATCAATGTATTATATAAACTGCTACAACTGTATAAATATTTGTAATGGCAAAATGATGCAAATCAGAAGCCAAAATAAATAAATAAAAAAAAAAATAAAAAATGTATTAAATCGAAAAGGATTGCATTATAAATTTGTTGAATTGTTAGACGTTATTCGGTGTTGTCTTTGTATTTACGTAGTGTTTTATACATCCCTATTCGAAAATCATATTTTAAATTCCAATATCTTTAAAATAGATATACAAGAAAAGCCTAGTTTAACGCTAGTCCTCGAGTTTTTAGAGGTAAATGTGTATAATGTTGTGGCGTATAGACTTCAAATTTGGAATAAATTCAATTTAATTTCGTCAGTTGGTGCAAAAAATAACGTTACCTGGAAAGTTTTACGGAAGGTTTGAAAATTGGTAGTTTTATAGATATCGATGTGCTCTTTAGGAACTTCAACTTCAAATATTCAATTATATCTATATCTATATCACTATATCTATATTATTTTTATACGTATTTTTGCCGTTCGTGCCGCCATATTGGAAAAATATGTAGGTAGTATTGGCATTATAAACCAGTTTTTTAACAATATGTCAGCAGCGTATGGCTTCGTGCCTTAAGGCAAATTCCTGAACATTTCGGACCGTAATTAAACATTCAAGAAATGAAAATAATCAATAATTGTTTTGAATAATTTCAAATAGATTATTTATTATAAATACACACTGTAAACTTATCGGTGCTTTTTAAATTAGGCGACAAGCGTATTCTACAACCAACTATCTTTGTGTAATTTACAAAAAAAAATTTTTTTTTTTTTGATAACTTAGAATTTTTTTCAAAATTTTGAAATGTTTTTAGAAGTTTGAAATTTTTTGGAATTGTTTTGGTTATCTATAAATCTGTTATTCTATACTGTGGAGAATGTCGAGGACATTTGTTTAAACCATATACGTAAATTTTAACATTAAAAATCTTGTTACGGAACCTAAAAACATTGACACAAAATGTGTATACATTATTAGAATCTATAAAATATCTAATAATTTGATGTGCATATGCCCAATCAACATTTTTGATCGCCAAATGGCATTTTTTTAACTTATTTTTATTGAGAGTCCACAACCGCTGGACCTGCCTTCCCAAAAATTTGAAAACTTATCCTTTAATGAGAAGAGAAGTTAATTATGCAAAAAAGGTTTATGGATTAAATAACTAACTTAGGGTAAGTTATAGAGTAATCGCAAAGAAATCGAAAATGAAAATTTTGTAAATCTTTACAATTCAGAGGTTCCTCAACATTTTGACATACCTTAGAAAAAATTGATATACGTGTTTGTGTATGTATGTGCGTATACGATTTTTTGTCGACGATTTCGCGAACACGGATCAACCGATATTAATAATTCAATAAACATTTGATGCATACAGATAAGGAGGCGTGTTGATTAGTTTTTGCCGAAGACAGATCTAGCCGTTTCGAAGATATGGGTAAAAATGGTAGTTCAGGTTTTGAGAGAACAGAGAACTGATTTCAATTTTTCAAAAAACATTTTACTTGTATATTGACAAAATGAACAACAAGTAAAATTTGTTGCCAAGGGAAGACAGGTCCAGTGTTTCCGGAGTACCAATAGAAAAACTAAAAAATAATGCCATTTCACGGACAAAATTATTATTAGACATGTGCACATCATATTATCAGATATTTTATAGGGATTATAATAATAAGTACTAAGTATAATAATAAGTTTTGTGTACATTCATATGGGTTCCAGGAAAATATCGCGGCTCTTAGGTGCTTCGATATTTTTACTCTAAATCAGCTATGAAGCGCGGTTACTTTAAAAAAATGTTCTGCATTTTTAAAAAAATTCAAAATACAGAAAAAAAATCAAAGCCAAGTTTTGAAACAATTTTACAGTTTTTTTAAATTTACTTTGCCAATTTGCCTTATGGCACAATGCCATCATGCACCACTAGTTTTGTTTTGTTTTGTTTTTGCTGGTAATTGAATATTTGAAATCATTTAATTTGATTCTGGAATGGAACTTCAACGTAAAGAAATCTTGACATTGGGTTTAATAAGACTACTAATTTTCAAAATTCCCTGAAAACTTTCTGAGTAAAACTACCATATGACTAGACTAATCATTAGTTTGTCAAAAAGTAATGAAATATGAAGATGTAGATACAATTGATCAAATATTTCTTCATTTTTAGGTTATACTAATACTCGTCGTGGAGATATTTGACCGCAAAAGGATGACAGATTTGATTCGTAATCTTCATTATATTGACAAAATTTTTTCTGGAAGAATAAATCATGACAAGCATAAACTCTGTGTAATTTTAATATTTATTCTCACATTTCGTTTTTTCTACATAAAAAACGGAATAACAATTTATGAACTAAGTTCCTTAAAACTGTTTAGGATCACATACTATGCTTATGCATTAGCATACGTTCCTTGCATGTTTATTTTTAAATTTACAACAATATGCTATCTTATTTCCCAAAGGTTTCAAGCTATTAATAACATTTTGACTAATATAGCAGAGCAACAGGTAATATGGTATATATATATATATATATATATATATATATATATATCACAGTTATAGAATTTTTCTTATATACACTTCAATTATTTTATATTATATTATTAACTTCACGTATGGTAAGTTTCCCACGGAGTGAATCCGAGTGGAGTTGTCTCACAGAATTTGTCATATCCGACTTCCCTAAACTGGCACTAAATCTGTTAACATGTACAGATATTTGCTTGAGATTTTTTATTAATACAAAGATTTGAATCAAAAGAATTGGTCTTTTCTCGTATCACAGCCAGTTTTAGGACCTTCCAGGTATATAATGTCTCAAAATATTAGGTTGTCAAATATCTCCCTTCCGTTTTTTTGCTCTTGGTTTATAATACAAAAAGGCGGAAGGGAGATATTTGACAACCTATTATTGCTATTTTGTACTCTATATTCTGTATACGATAATGTTTGTCCGTAAATGAGCTCTTTTGATGGTACACTACTAGCTAAAAAATATCTAGTATTATATTACAACTTTTACACAATTATAATTTTATAATTGTGTAAAAGTAATAGTATGCTAATCAAACTACCTGTTGTATAATTAATTCTCGAGAAAGAAATAATAAAAGAATGTGAGGTATTATTATTTTGTGAAAAATATTATACACAAAGATTTGTTCTTATTTCATATATAAGGTTAACTGCATTATTTTCATATGAAAATAAACATATTCAAATAATTCTATAATTTTCTCTTCAAAACTAATTACAAAATTGATTTTGATTCCCAAGTTTTTTGTCAATTTGAGTTTTATATGCATATTGAAATGCATAAAATAGTAATTATTATAATAAAATGAACAAAAATGTTTGAACTATTTGTAAACTATTTCCTTGTCTTAATAAATCCTTAGATATGTTAACAACACACTAGAGAATGCATTTGTGTAAAGTATTATGTTTCAAAGTTGTCGGAGTTGTGGAGTTGTTAAGTGGATATAATTCCTCTCTGAAGCGAAGTCAAATCCTAACCGATCCTTTGGGCTTCGGATATGATAAGCCCATCTTTAGGTGTATGTATGTATGTATGTGTGGATACAATTTTTCGTCGACGTTTTCGGGGGTACCGCTCAACCGATTTGAATGATTGAAAAAGCTATCGATTCCTACTTATGGATAATAATGCCCATAATGCATATATTAATGCATTAATACCCATAAGTAAGAATCGATTTGAATGATTCAAAAAACTTTTTGTTTGTGTTGACGAAACGATTGTTTTTTGGAACAGCAAAAAAAAAAAAATTATTTTAAAATTTCCAAAAAAATTTTTTTTAATTTACAAAAAATATTTTTTTGAATATTAAAAATAATTCGGATTTTAATTTTAATTCGAGCTGAAAGATTTGAAATAAATAATTTTAACTTTGCAATTCAGTTATATAATAGAATTATGTATGAGGCAAGATTCTTCATTCTAATTCCTTTTCGAAGTGATTCAGTTTTGTTTATTTACTTTTCGTGTAAACATCATTGTCCAATTTATAAGCTTTTATACTTTGTCTATAAAATACGATATTTGCCTTAAGGCAAATTGCTGGTACTTCCCGTACTATAATAAAATATTTGAAGTTTCAAATGTTTTCAAATATATTAATATAAATACTGTAACTTTCGAAGTATTTATATTAATATATTCTCATAAGCTCAAAAGACTCAATCGAATTTCAGTCAAAAACGTTCGCTGACAAAAATTATGTAATTACAATAAATAATTCTTACGAAATAGGGTTTGTGGTAAGAGGCAGATATACATACACACAAATACACACACACACACACATATATATATATATATATATATATATATATATATATTGTTAATAACAGTTTTAATTTATTTCAGACATTATTTCAAATAAATAGATTTAGCAATAATATTCTTTCAGGTATTCAAAAGAAATAGCAAGCATGAAGAAATAAGTCAAGAGATACAGACATTACGTATTTGTTTCAAAATACATTCCATGCTACATAAATCAACTGAGATTTTCAATCAAATATATAATTTGCCGGTTCTCTTGTAAGTATACATTGGCTTTTATATGTAAAATACACATTTTTATCAAATATACTACTGCAAGCACCTCTATCTGACATCACAAGCAAACTTAGAAATTACTTTTAGAAATAAAAACATAAAAGTTGAAAAATGCGACTCTTAATTGATTGATCATGAAGGAATATGAACAATACTTTAATATATTTATTGTAGCTCAAACTTTAGGTATTTTTTTAGACTTTGCTTGCGATCGCAATTTATACCAATGATAA